GACATCAAAACAGTGCAAAATATTGGGAGCACGAATTCACACTCGAGCGCCAGTCACCCCGCTCGAGCGTGAGTTCAAAATCTGGAATTCCCAGATTTGAACCTCAAGCTCAAATTCAACTTCAAATGTATCAAATTCAATTCCTTTGGACCCATTTCCTGGAAAACACTTCAAAACTCATAGTTTAACATGATTCCAAAGCTTAATTGTAAAATCAAAGCCCAAGGGTGTTTCAAACACTCAATTTCAAACCAATTTTCATGAACATGATGAACACGCAAACATGCATGAGTTTAAATCAATTCAAAACTTCAATACATGCTCTAATGAGTCGATTCTTTTCAAAACAAGGTGAAATCATGGACTTAAACATAATTATGAGCATGCATATAACATTTTTCCATGAAAACAACTTAAAACTCAACAATACAAACATGCATGCAAGATTAGAGCTACAACTCAACATGCTAGAACTAATTCATGACTTAGCTCTTCAATTTGGCAAGAACCATGCAAGAATCAATTTAAAGACACAATTAAAAGGGTAAATTCCTTACCTAGGCCCTCAAATACAAGGTGAGGAAGCTTTATTTGCAACCTATATTCCAATTCTTCAAGCCAATGCACAAAGTCAAGTTGAATTCACTCCAAACCTCTCACTCTCCTCTCTTGATCGGTTATGAACATCAAAAGGGATGAACAAATGTTTTGTAATGCCTAAGAATGAGCCTCTAAAGTGTCAAATAAGTGGCCCACTAGATGGCACTAAGGTAATTAAGTCAAATTATGTAATTAGCTTATTTTAATCTATTTTAATTATACTAAATCAAATTTCAGATAAATATACCATAAAATCACATTAATTCTACTGATCTTAAGACACTAATCAATTTCAAATTCGGCCGCCGATAAGGCCTTCAATTAGCAGTTTAAAACATAGAATGTGAACAGATAATCAAACAGGCAACAGATAGATAATGCATTTAAACAAATACAGTCAATCAATCAGTTTCAGATTTCAGTCAGTCTGTTCAGTATTTTAGTTGATTCAATTACTTATCGTAATCAGTCTTAGTTTAGCAGTAGTCAGTAGTTTATCGGTAAACAGGGGTGAGGGTTATTACAACTGACCATTACATAACATGCTAAAACACTGAACTCCACCTCTCAAAATGAAATGCTTGAACCACTACTCAAAATGTTGAGAATCGTAGATCCCATACATTGCACATAGCAGGAAGGACAACAATCACTTCCATAGACGGTAGGGTTATGTTGTCCTAGCTTTGAAATGATCAAGGGTTTCACTATTCAAACAAGTGGCATCATACATCCTGGAATGAGATAGCATCTTGCCCTAATTTTGAAACTTGCTAGAGTTTACTATATGCACTAGGTCAGTCTTGGTCAAAAAGTGTACCTCAACAAGACACTGATATACCTACCCAATCTGATGGATCAAGTGATACGTGGTAATCCCGATCCAAGGCTTGTGCTCCCACCATGACAGAGCCCATGTTTATCTATCCACTCAAAGCTAAATAGCCATCCAGGATAACAAGTGACGAGCACAAGACTTATGCGCACCAATGCATATAATGCAATGAACATATAATTGAAAATAAAAAATAAAAAAAATCATATCATGGAGTTCAAGTCAAGGTTTCTTAATATCTCCATTAGAGTCGCCAAAAACTTTAACACCGCCCAAGGGGTACCCATGCGCGTTAAACAGTTCAAACCCTCGATTTCTTTATCTAGTCTCACGAATGCAATGTGAAACATAGATGAGAGTCTTGATTTGACAACTTCTATAGAAAATCCATTTTATTGTAAAACCTTTGCCAAAAATGGACTGCTTCATCATATCTCAGAGTCACCACCTAATATTTTGAGAAATTAAGAAATCCATTCATCGTGCCAAGGCCACTGTTCATCGTAACCAAGGATGCTTAGCTTGGAACCTTAGGTATGAGGGGGAAAGGTCATTAATTGAACACCCCCACTCACATGATAAAAAGATCGGCCTATACTAATGTGAGAACCCGAATATAAAAAATTAAGTAAATAATTAGATAATAATATTACAATCTCAAATATTTTGGTGGTGAATTCTAAAGTGCAAATTAAATATTATTGGGGGATCTTTTAATTAATTTTAAACTTAAAATAAATTTGTGGTTAAAGCATTTAATTTAGAGGCAAGATTTATTTTTATTTTTTTTAAAAAAAATATTGAGGGCAAGTTAGTAAGTATATTTTGTTATAATAATAGTTATATTTTATTTAATTAATGTGTTAGAAAATAAAGTAATATAAAGATAATATTTTAGGGCCTTTTTGTGTAGATATATATGTAACCCTAGGTTGCCTCATACTATTCATAACAGCAGCAGGAGCCACCACGGGAGAGAGAGAAAGGTTGAGAGAAAAGAAGAACAGAAAAGAAGGGTTGCAAACAAGGACGAATTTTTGGGTGTGGTGGGTCTTTATCTTTCTTCTTCCTTTTGGTTTTGTTTTTATCCTTATTCCATTATTATTTTATTCATTCATGGAGGTTGTAGGTTTATATATTTTGTGTATATATATATACTGTTAAGAAATTTGAGGAGTTAAATTCATGTATAAAGAATGGGTATTATTCTTAGTTAAAAAATTCTGTGCATAATCACAAACTTTAAAAATCAAGAAACCATATCAAACGGATGAATTTTAAACTAAAATTTTTACAATAGATCAGTTACATATTGAGTTGCATATCTAAATTTTTTCATAATTTTTGGGAGTCAAAATCCATATAAATTGAGGTATTCAAATCTGTCCAGGAAACCAGTCCGAAACAGTATATTCGGGAGTGTTGTTCTCTTTGGGTATAAATCCAAAAATTATCAAATTAGTGTCATTAGAACCAGTTGCGAGTCTAGTTTTCTACGTTTTGGCCTTGCATTGATTGCTCGTGTATATTAAGAGAACAGTCAATTTCTTTAAAGTGCTACAGAAAACAACCTGTTTGGATATAATAAATTATAGATAATTCTTTTGATAAGCAAATCAAGTGAAACCAACTGAGTTTGAAACTTAGGATATATTAGATCATATCTAGAGGTTATTGGAATTTTTCGAATAGCGTGGAGTGGGTTTTGTAATTTTCAAAGTTAGCGAATAGGTTGGGAAAGCTTGTTTGAAATTCTGTTTTATCTTAAAGTCACAATTAATTAAGTTTTAACCGGAACCCATGTCTTGGGTTATTTTAAACCTTGAAGAACATAAACTTAGGTAACACTTAAGAGTAACGGTGAGTTGGGTTGAGCCGTGTTAGTGCGCTTTAGTTGAGATTACTTAGTTCCTATTTTTTAGTATTTTTAAATTAGTTGTGACGTGTAGTTTTTATACTTGGTTCAGGGCACTAGTTGGACTTTTACACTCTATTCGATTCAAGGATTATATTATTTCGTTTCAGGTGAGTAGTTTCATGCTACATATTTTTATAAATGTTCCCCTACCCTGAACTGTTGGAAAATTAAATTGTTGTTTCATGATTAAACTGTTTTGATAAATTATTATATTATCAATTGAATCAAATTATTTCTGAAACATGTGTGAACTTGGCATACTGTAAACTATTTGTTTTGGTCTCATGTTTATAATGATGAACTACCATGTTTTGCGAAACCGATGTGTATTGATTATTAGGACCATGTGTGTATTTAGTCCAAGGAAATTATTCCACTGTGTGTGGTGACTCTGGCCACTAGGGAACAGATCCGGGTTGGGCCGTGATGACTCTAGTGCTCAACGATTGTAAGGAAAAGACCTTTAAAAACAACTAGGTGACCTTCAATCGGATCGTCTTTGAGAAAAGGCCCAGGTGCCACCCTGAGGATGACTCTTAGTTCGGTATTGGATCCAATGGGGCTTATAGCCTTGAGAACTGTGTGGCATATTATTTGGTTTTATTGGTACCCAGAAAATTATTGGTGTTCATGTTATAATCTGTTTTAAGTGAAAAATGTCGTTTATCATGTTCTTGCGAGACATGAGTATTTTAAGTGTTGAATTGTGGAACCTTCTTTTTGAAACAGATTGTATTTACCAAACTGTATGCCAATCTAGTTTCTTTGATATATATCCTATTTTGAAATTGAACCCTGTTTTCAAAACTGTATTTACTATCCATGTTGCTACTCACTGAGCTATCAGCTGACTTAGTTGTTTACCATTTCCAGGTGTTTGAAGGACTTAGAGTAGACTTATGGCGTAACGGGGACTCAATTGCATGGACCTTTAGGGCATTTATTTAATTTGTTTTAGGTTGCTTTGTCAAGTTTTCTGCATACATTGTGGTTGGGTTTTATTTAGAATTATTTTATTTTGTGGGCGGTTTGTGTCCCATTTAGTATATATATATTTTTAGGAAGTTGGTTATGACTTGTTTTTCACTTGTGGTATGTCACTAGATTGAGTATTGATTTATTTATTTCTGGGATATCATCACATTTATTCTTTATGGTTTTGGATTCATGTTTTAGGCTTATGTGTGCCTTAGGCTAAGTCCCTGTGGGCCACAGCCGGTCATGCTCGGATTTGGGGTGTGACAATTGTGGTATCAGAGCCAGGTTATCGAGTTACATATCTTGCATTTCATCATTTAGACGAGGTCCGAGTCCCTATAGTCCTTAATAGTGTTTGGTTAAGTTAGTTTTGTTTAAGCTTGTGTTGAGCTTTTCTTAATTTCATTTTGAAGGTTAAGAGATAACACCTAGGAGAAGAAGTGTTAATGCTCTTGGAACTGATCAACCAGCCGCTAATCGTAGAGTTCCCCCTATTCCTATACCCCCTACCGCACCACCTGTTGCTCCAATCGTCCTTGAAGCACCAGGATTGCACCAGCCGCATAGGTTTTACAGTCATTGTTGGGATTACTGAACAATCATGTAGCCCCACAACCAGCAGTTCACCCAACTTTAACTTTGGATAGAGGTTCCTTATTTGAGAGGTTTATGAAGGCAAAACCTCCAGAATTTCATGGAACAGTGGACCCTACGGAGGCAAAGGCATGGGTACTAGAGATGGAGAAAATATTTGATGTTTTAGGTTGTTCAGCAGACCAGAAGGTGGCCTTTGCAGCTTTTAGGTTCAAGGGTCAAGCAGAGCATTGGTGGCGCATGGTGAAGCGTCAACATGAGGGTAGAGAAACAGAGCTAGTGTGGAGCAAGTTTCTAGAATTGTTTAATGAGAAATACTTCCCTGAAGCGGTGCGAAGGCAGAAGCAAGTGGATTTTCTCAATTTGAAGCAAAATGACATTTCAGTGGCTCAGTATGAAGCCAAGTTTGCGGAGTTGTTGAGGTATGCCCCACATCAGGTGGCCATAGGGGAAGATAGAGTGATGTTGTTTGAGAATGGCTTGCAGTCAGAGATCTATGCAAAAGTAGCTATTTTGGAGATGAAGACATATTCTGCATTGGTAAGCAAGGCATTACAAGGTGAAAGGGGAGTAGAAGAGGAAAAGAGAGCTGACGAACAAAACGCTAAGGAACCACAAAACAAGAGACTTAAAGAGGAGAGACAAGTAGAGCATCGTGGTGGTGGTAGCAATCCTAGCAAGAAGCCTTACACCCAACGTCAGGTTAGTGCAAACGTCCCCGAACATCCCGGGAAGGAAATCCCGTTTTGTTCATTTGGGCTCACTACAGTTCAGGACTCAATGTCACGGTCCTATATCTAATCTCGCAGAGTGCAATGCAAGACCGATGAATCACCAACGAGTCCAAATCCGGCAAATCGTTTTTAAAAACAGATTTTTTGAAAGAAATGCCAAACATGGACTGCTTTGCCAGATACAGAGTCGCCACCTAAATATTTTATTTTGAGGGGAATTTAGGAAACCCTGACTCGTGCCTAAGGCCACGTGTCCGTCATCACCAAAGTTGCCACGGCTCGGGAACTTGGGTACGATTGGGGAAGGTCACTTCGTGAGCAACCCCGCTCGCCCGACCAAAGATCGACCTCTACTAACCATGATATCTAGCTTTGAAAACATTATGCGTTCTTATCCCGGTTATTAGCCTAGATTTACTATGTGATGCGCACAGCATACAAGTATAGACTGGATCGCCCGAATTGGAACAAAACATTTCATGTTTGTTTTTTAAAGCGGTTTGCTACTCGCAAGTAGGCTTAAAATGCAGATTTTGCCACCCTCGGGTGGGCTTAGAAAACATGGTTTTGCCACTATCTAGTGGGCTTAGAACTCACAGTTAATGCATTATTCCAACTCAGATAATCTCACCTTCACCCACAGGCATTCAAGCAGGTATATCACATAAGCAGTTAGCCTCATGGTAAGCATGCTATCATGGCAGTCACTCACACGCATGCAAGAATGCTTAAAACATAAACCTTACCGAGTACTCCAAGCCAAAACAAAAGTTATGTTAGAAATCCATGCATGATCCTAACTATACAAAAATGCCTAATGCAACACATGCAAAATGCAACTATAGGCTCGACTATTCTACAATGGCATATGAAATGCTACAACTAACAAGTATTCAACTCGGAATTATAATACAATGCAGTTAGTATGATGCGCCGAGCCCGGTGCATGCAAGACAGATGAATGATCTAAGCATGCGAGCATAAGTATGCTAATTGAAATATGACCTAAAACTAACCAACGAAAGCAGGTAAGTAAAAGGGAGAAAGACGTGGGGTTGGAAGACATGCATCACACGCATCCACACTTATTGCAATTGTGCCCTCGCTCGGAGGGTCCGAATAAATACTACAAGCCACCTAATTAACTAACTCACAAGCTAATTAATTATTACAGAACCAAATTGAATAACTAGCTACAACTAATTATTACACAACTTAATTAATTAACGAATCAATTAACTAATTAATGAATGACAACAAGCAGGTAGGGAAAGCAGTAAACGGTGCTATTCCAGCTCTGTTTGAAGAAGGGAGGCATGCATGCTCGCTTCGGTTCCTTGTTTTGAAATGCCTTCCTGTTGCTCTTTAGAGGCTCTACTTGTAGGGTGTCTTCCAGTGCTTGTCCCTGGACCTTACCAAAACACTGCAGAGGAAGTCACCAGTGGCCTGCCAGCCAGGAAAGGAGATCTGCCGACCAAAGATGGTCCATTGCCAGCCAAGGGTGGCGCACTGCTGGCCATCAATGGCAGGCTGCTGGCCACTGGTGTGCTGTGACACCAAACTGCAACGAAGCATAAAATAGAGAAAAGTGAGGGTTTTCCAAAGACATGTACGCACCATGGCACTCCAAACCACCTCAAAACATCAAGAGAGAGGCCTAGTCGGATCCACGACCATCAATCACGCATCCCGACGCATGATGGCCAAAGATCCAACTTGTGCAAATCAATATGAAAATGAATGCACAAATAAAGCAAGTAAAGCCTAGAACTCTATCATGAATCATCAAGAGCTTCAGCGACCGAGAATTGAGACACGTTTCATCACTCGGAGTATGAAACGTCCCTCGTTTCCCGTGCTCGGATTAATACTTAATCCAAGCAATGCAAAGCATGTATGTTTTATGTAGCTCAAATATGCAAGGCATGCCAAATGCTATGCAACTAAGCATGCGAGTGTGCAAACTAAGCTAATGTAACGCAAACACACTAAGTATGCAACAAGGATACATAATGTAACTAGCTAAATGGCGTGCAAACGTGCGAACGTGATATGATGCAAGCATGCGACCAATGTGATGCAACATGTCAAATATGAATTGGTGGGCTTAAACCATAAAGGGGCAGACCTCAGCCCATCCCAAAACAGTGGCCAAAGTGCAAGGAAGCAAGGCCAAAACAAGCTGATTAAGCATGTTCATGCAAGAGGCCAATGAAGCACATAAACTAGAGCTATATGATACAATGCTTGCAGGTCTCAAACACCTCAAAACAGTCGCCCTACATGCCATATTGATGCTGAAAATGCCATGATCATACACCAAAACAAGCTCAAATGATATGCCCAAACAATGGACTCTTGAAGCACATGAACTACAACTATGTAATGCAACGCATGAGAGTTTTATCCAGCCCAAAACAGAGTCTCTACATGTTAATTTAGGGCCTAAAACATGCTGGAAAATAGTCCAAACAAACTAGAAAAGCATGCTCTCCTTTAGGCCATTCTAAGCATTTAAACCACAACCATGCAAAGTAATGCACAAGCTACCTTAACACCTCAAAACAAAGCTTAATCACAGCAAAATGCGGACTATTGCAGGCCAAAGTTAAACTAGCACGTGTTAGGAAGATAGGCTAAAACAAGAAACAAGCTATGGCTAGGGAGCAAAATTACACTACAAGTGTATTATGCCAGCATGGAGTGACAAAACCAACCCAAAACAGGTTCATGGCATGGTAAAACATCACCAAAAACCTACTGAAATAGACTCAACACAAGCTAAGCACACATGCTACTTTGATGAGCTATGAATGGAGTTACATTACACATGCTAGATGCAAGCAGAATATAACCAAACCAGCCATGGACAGGGCCAAGGCAGGTCCCAAAAGTCACAAAAATAGGCCTGAACCAAGCCTCAAAAATGCATAGAGGGATGGTCCTTTGGAAGGCCAAAAATGTAAGCAAAGAGGAACACAAAGAGAGGGGATTACCCCCCCCCTGATTTAGGACCTCAAAACCACACCTCTACCACCAAAATCCCACTGGATTTCAGTGGTAGGAAGGCCAAACCAAGGCTAGCTCGGAGGCCTCAAAATATGGCTTAAAACAAAGCCAAACAAAGCATGCAAGGGGGCTACACACCCCAAACAGCAAAATGACCTTAACCAAACTTAAAAATCACTTAAAAACAAGACTTTTTCCAGTTATAAGAAAATCCTAAATCAATATGAAAAGAGGGCTAAAGCAAGGTGCAAGAAAGTGCAAAAATAGGGGAAATGCTCACCCTTGAAGACCCTCTTCGAAACCAGCAATTTCAGGGGGTGGAAGCTTACTTTTAGGCCTCAAGAAGACCTTCCAAGAAGCTTGGTTCAATGATGGCGGTGTATATCTAGGTGTTGTAGTGTAAAAATGCAAGGAAATCCAACTTCAAAGCATTAAACACAAACAATATAGAGAGAAAGAGAGGTTTTGCCCTTCAAAACTCTAGAACCCTGATATAGAGGGTGGCCTCTTGCTTATATAGAAGAAAATCAATTCAAAGCTTCTTGAACAAGCTTGGCAAGAGCTTCATCTGGCTCAAAAGATCTGCCGTGAAACCTGCTGAGAGAGGGGTGTTGCCAGCCATCATTGATGGCAGGCAGTGGCTTATTGATGGCTGGCAGGGGTCACTTTTGGCCGGCATTGGCCAATCATGGCCGGCACACTTCCATAGAGGCCGGCAACAAAAATTAGTCCTAGTTCCTGTTTTGAAGAAAGCCTAAATCCTTCATCTGGATGCCTTTTCAGGTCATTCTTGAGCCTAAACTATAGCCTCGGAAGTCTTCTTTCCAAATTTGGTAGCCTCACCTCAAAATTCCTTGTGTGCTAAGAGATATCTCTCTTTTAGTGAAGACTGCTTAGTTTCAGTCCAACCGGATTGATGCCCGATTTCCAACGGCCATATCTCTCCCATCCGGACTTGGCTCGAGGAGATTCTTGAATGAAAATTGAAGCCTCGGAAGTAAGCTTTCCAACGGTGGTGGCCTCATAGCTGAAATCCAAGTATTCAAATAGATAGGCCTGATTTAGCAAGGGCTACTCGGCTCTTTCTTAAAGATTCATGCCCAACTCCTTCCCCAACTGGGTTTCTTCTCTCATCTCCTCTTTTCTTCAACTCCAAACCCCTAAACAAGGTGTTTTGAAAGATTTTTCAAAATATTTCATCTCTCCTTCATTCATTTCCACTTTGTCCTTGCTCAGTTTACCGAAAAGCGCAACATTTAACAAAATGCGAGCGTCGGAACATCGTAGGAACCTATTTTCAAAAATATTTTGAAAGAGAGGGTTTTGAAGGTCTCAAAATCTTTTGATCAAGATAGTTTTGATCCAAAAAGGGGTATGAAGTTGGGATTTGACCCTCTCCTTACTGAAGAAATCGAGCCCTTGCACTGCACAACTTTCACCACCAAGTAAACCGTCAGTAACGATGTCCAAGTCTTAAGGGCGGTCAAAAATGGGGTGTCTACAGTTGCCCCTCTTTGACAGAACTCGGAAATCACAAAGTGACGGGAGTGAATGTCAAAGCCCAGAGACGACCCATTTTTGACAAGGCTGAAGACTTAGACAAACAAGCAAGATAATAAAGAGATGCACCCGCAGGCAAGGGCAAGATGCAAATGTTATGCACAATGCTGAACATAACTTATGATCATGCAAAGAAAGCTGTAACGAAGCATAACAATGCAACAGTTTTAAGGAAATAGAAACCAAGCTACATTACAATGCAGAAAGGATGTAAGAGAATTATTGCAATTCTCACTACGAATATAGTGTGCATGTGTGATAGATACACGAAACGAACGTGTGTGATGGATACACAAAGTGAATGTGTGATAGATACACAAAGCAAACGTAGTGTGATGGATACACAAAAAGGTGAACACAAAGTGTGATAGATGCACTAAGTGAACAAGGTATGATAGA